GCCCACTGCAGGGAACTCTGATAACCCTGTCATTCTCACATGTGCTGGGGCAAAGAGATGTAGACAAAAACAATATTCTGCATGGGCGTTTCACAGGGCACCTGATGAGGTGTATAAAAAATCATTGTGGATCTCCACAGACATCAATTAAATGTGGTTTTGGTCCCAGGCAACCAGTGAGGTCTGCCCCTTCATGTGCATGTGTTAAGTGAGCAAACTGTCCCTCGGGATTCCTAGCTCCCTACTTGATGGAGTCCACTGAGATGCTGAGATGCTCAGTCTGCGAGGGGACACTTGGCATGGGTGAATTCAGGTGGCTGCCAGGATGGTGAGCACTAAAGAGTGATTGTGTGCAGGTTTTGTGCTTGTTTCACCCCAGCCCAGGGAGTGGGGAGCATAGTAGTGTTTGCAGGTGTTCACTTTGATACTGGGCACAGGACTGTTTCCTTGCCCATAATTCCAGCATCTGTATAGGTCTCCAAGGTCCCTCAATGACTTTGGGGCACAGAAGTACTCATTGGCTCTACACCAACATTCTCTTCATTATGTTTTTGCAGATTGCCTTCAAACGAGTATGACAATGCCAAGAAGTCTGTGGCCAGAATCTCACGTAAATGTCAGATAATAATTATGTTGCTGCTACATTGTTGGTGACTGATCATCTTCTACATCCATGTGGATGACAGAAGCATATACATTATGAAGTATTCCAGTTTCCTGGACATGCATTCTTTGAAAGACTTGGGTAGTTTAAGTTTCAGGATGGGGCCACATTCACCTTCAGGACCTCATTTTCTGGTACATATTTGACTGCTAGTGGAGAAGCTGTGATATTTCCCCCTTTATTTGGCTAGTGTGTTCACTGCCTTCCTACTATTGTAAGGGGTCACGAATTGCTATTGAATCCCTGCAGACAGATGTCATTCATTTCATACTGGTCCAAGTAGAGGAGTATGTGGGTAACAAGTGCTTCCACAAGGTAGGAATCTTAGCAGTGTGGCAAGTATCTTCTTGAGAGTGTCCATTTCCTGTTGTCTGACTGGTCCATGTGCACATAGGAGGAGTCTGGCAATGGTGATGGACCCCAAATGATAGGACAAGGTGGAGATTGTGCAAGGAGACACTGAGGGGGAACAATAAAGGATAGAATTTCTTGGATATCTTTTCTGGTGTGAGGCCTGGAACTCAGTGTGGGCCATGAGAGGTCATCCCATTGAACATTACCAGTTTCCATGCAAATGCATGTGTGGCCCTCCATTGTAAAACCACACAATGATCTACCTGGACTTTGATAATGAAAGTATGGTTCCTATGTGTTGTTGTGGCCATGTTTGGTGCACAGCCTGAGGAGGTGCTGAAGGGGGGACTAAGTCAATCCAGTGACCAAGAGTATGCCATTACTGTGGGTTTCAGGACATCATGTTAAGGGAATTTAGCTATCTGTGTTGATACTGCTTTTTCCTTGCCTTAATGACATTATGGTGGACCAGCCAGCTCAATAGGAAGCACAAAAATCTTGACATGTGACCAGTTGTTAAGCATGAGTTTTTTGGGATGATAGTGTGTTCCCCTCAAATTGGTTGTAGTGTCACAGTGGAGTGAGAGCCCTTCTGCCAGTGGTGATAGATGGGAAAGAGCTAGCTGTTTTTGCTGATGTAGTGGATGCTGAATTGCATGGTGTTTGCATGGGTAATGTTGGACTTCTCTTCAGGTAGGTATACACAGCAATGAAGCAGACTTTTTGAGTGGAGAGTGCAGGTGACTAGGTAAGTCCTAACTTGGACAGAGTCTGGTTCTTGGGGCCTGGTGGTCCTTAGTGAGATCAAAAAGGAGCTTCTGCCTAACTTGGTGTTGCCATGTTTTGTCACCAGGTGGTCTGTGAAGCTCCTGGCTGGTGGCCAAGTCTTCTGAGATTTTCCGCCTTCACCCATGTGACCCCTTCTTCTATTCCCATGAACACTGGACCTGGGCCCTTGGGCAACCATGTCTTCTCCTTGCTGTTTGTGACAATGAAGATAAAACAATTGACTCTTCCCAGTGTCTACAGGTAAGCATCGCATTTTCATGTAGGATGGTGGCCCAGTAGGTGATTTTCCATTCTTGCTGTTGTATATGAAGGGGCAGGGCTTCTTGTTAATATTGAGTTTTCCACCAGAATGGATATTAACTCTTGAACTTCAGCAGGTTTCCATTTTAGGGAGAAAGATTTCTCTTGCCTGTCTTTCTCTATGGAGTTCTTCAAGGCCCCAGGTTGACATAAGTGGGCTCTCCAAACAAACATAGTGACCACCGTAATTATCACATGTGTGAGTGCAAGGAGACAAGGACTGAGTCAGTATTAGGGATGAGTTTTTCACAGGGATCCTGATGTCACAGTGAAGCATACATCGTACTCATTCAGATTCCTACAGACTTCTAGCTGGTAAGTGTGGCCTTGTAGATCTCGACTCCTCCACATGCACAGGGAGCTGATGAAGGTGTTCCTAGGCATTCCAGGCTCCCTCCCAGATTTGACAATTCTCTGGTTAGAAAGGAAGCCATCCTTGGTGTTGCTGTTATCTGATGGATGCCATGGTGTATATGAGCTCAAATGGATGCCAGAATGGTGTGTATTGAAGTATTTCATGACTGTCCAGGTTTTTGTGTTTCTCTTGCCCATACCCATGGGCAGTTAACCTAGGAGAGTTTGCACAGGCCACCTAAGAAAGGGTGGCTTCTGTGGACAAGAATGTTTCACAGGCAATCATCTCAGCAGCAAGATAAGCTTCCAGTGCACTCAAACTTTTCTGCCTGACTGAAATGCTCATTGGCTCTACACTGACATGAACTTCTTCCCTTTTTTTCCAGGTTTCCTTGAAGAGAGAGGATAGGGATGTCAAGAAGTCTTTGGCAAGAAGCTCATGCAAATATCAGGTAAGAACCAGCGTGCTGATACTTTGCTCTGACCTTGTGATCTTCAGGATCCAGGTGGATGTCAGGAGCATGTGCCTAATGACATGTGTTTCTGGGTCACATCCCCTGAAGGTCTTAGGTAGTACAGAGTTGAGAGCTAGTACCACATTCATCTTCAGAACTTTTTTTATACATAGATTTGAATACTGCTGGCAAATGTGATATTTTCCCTTTTATTTAGGAAATTTTTGTTCAGTTCCTTTTTGGTCTCATGAGGGAGCTAAAGGTACTCTTGAATCCCAGCCTGCAGATTCAATGCATTTCATGGGGACCACATGATCTGCCAGATGCAGGTGGCTCAGGAGGATGTGGTAACAAGGTATTCTCATGTTTCTTGGAGATTTATCCTCTGAAAGACAAAGCTAGTGAAGGGTTCAGAGCTGATGCCACATTCAGCCACAAAGCTTTTTTTCTCGAATAGATTTTGAATATTAATGGCGAACTTCTGCTGTTTCCCCTTATTTGATAAGTAGTGTTCAGTGCCTTCTTGCTATCCATAGGGACCATGACACACTACTGCATCCATGCCTTCTGACTTCACACGTTTCCTAATAGTCCCACTAGGTAAGAAAGCTGGTTGACAGACCATTTTCACAGGGTGGATCACTGAGAATAGGCATTGGAGTGTTGTGGCAAGCTCTTCCTCGTGAGTGTCCATTTACTGTTTCTTGGCTAGTGTGTTGTTACCGGGGAGGGCCTGGGAGTACCTGTGGGCCCCGAATAATAGGGTGATGTGGGGACTGTGCAGATGGACACAGACAGGGCATTGGCCAAGGAACCTATGTTCCCCGGACACCTTTTGCAGTGAGCAATCCTGAGCTGAGTGTGAGCTGTGAGAGGCTATCCAATTAAACATTGCCAGATCCAGGTAAGGGTAGGCAAGAGCTTTCATCACAGTGCAGACAGAGTATCTCCATGGACTTGGGTAAGTAATGGTTGGCCCACTGTGGGCTGCCCTGGCTATGCTTTGGTTGCAGCTGCCCAGGGAGCAATAACTGGGGGAAATGAGCCAATTTTATGACCATGAGTTTTCCCTTGGTATATGGTGCAGTACAGGAAATGTTGAGGTTCTGTGCATCCAGGGAGTATTTTTTCTTGATCCAGTGACATTGCGGCAGAACAACCTGCCCAGCAAGAGGCACTGGAATCAGTGCAGGTGACCAGTTGATGAGGATTAGTAACTTGGGATGATAGTTTTCCCCTCAGATTGGTTGTGGCATCCAAGTGGGGAGAAAACATTTGTGCAAGTGGTGAATGATGGAAAAGCCACGTGCTTTTGCAAGGTATGCTGAATTACATGGTTTTAAAATGGTTTGTTTGGCCTTCTTTTCAGGTATATATTTATATATAAGGATGAAAATCAGTTTGTGGAGGTGAGATTGCTGATGGTAAGGTAATTATTAATGTGGACATAGCATGAGTCATGCTTCCCTAGGGAGGTCAAAAATGAGCTTCTGCCAAACCTGGTATTGTGATGTTTTGTCACAAGTTATCTCAAAAATGCCTGAGTCAAGATCAGATCTTGCATGTGGCCAACTTCAGCCATGGGTCATCATTTATTTTTGTTTGTTTGAGACAGGGTCTTAATATGTAGTTCAGCCTGTCCTTGAACTCACTATGTAGCCCAGGCTGGGATCAAACTCAAAGCGATCCTCTAGGCTCAGCCTCTCAAATGCTGGGATTACAGGCATGTGCCACCATGCCCAGTTTTTGTTTCTCATGAATTTTGGGGGAGGACACATGGGCACCCTTCTGTTTGTACCATTGTTTGGCGTGTGTATGACTCAGGGTAAAACGAGAGAGTCTTTGTAGTGGTTACAGGTAAGCACCTCATTTCATGTAGAATGATTAGACCTTAATGTATTTTTGTGTTCACAGCCAGAGATTGCTGATTGTATCCAAATGCCAATCACTGGGGATACTGACCCTCAGAACATCTTCAGGCTTCACTTTAAGGGCTTTGTCCTTTCTTCTCTTCTACAAGAACCCAGATTGTCCAACAAGTGAGCTATGCAAACTAATGGCAGTGACCTCTGCCATTATCATAATTAATGCTGCAAGGAGATGTGTACTGAGTCAGTATTCCTCAATGTGGTGTTGACAGGGCTACCTATGCATGTCAGAGTGAGCCACAGAAAATATGCAGGAGGATCCTTAAAAATAGATGGTAAGTGTGTGTTTAGGCCCAGCACACCTGCCCAGTGAGAAGATAACAGAGGTGTCCCTGGGCATTCCAGGCCCCTACCTTGAAATTCAGGTACTTAGATCAGAAGGGATGGAGTCAAGTCTTTGGCCATGCTACTATTTCAGGGGATACTTGACATGAACAGGGACAAATGGATGCCCAACTGGTGAGCATTGAATGTGTGATTCTTTTTTTTTTTTGGTATGGGGGATCAAACTTGGGTCCTTGCTCTTGTGCAGCAGACAGCGAAACCAGTGAGCTAAATTCCCAGCCCTGAATGTGTGATTCTATTCAGGGTTTGTACTTGTTGGAGCACTGCCCAGGTAGCAATAAACATAGGAGAGTTTGCAGGTGTCCCCTTAGGAGAGGTTTAATTCTGGGGATTGGACTGTGTTCCTGGCAAGAATCCCAGCATTGAAGTTGGTTTCTTGTGTCACTCAGTGGTTTTCTTGTGCATTGAAATGCTCCTCAGCTCTATGTTGAAACCTTCTTCCTCATACTTTCTCCAGTTTCCCTTCAAGAGAGGATCCTGAAGTCCAAAAGCCTGTGACCATAAATCATGTGAAGGTAGCAATCAGGGTCCTCATCACTTTGGGGAATACATCATCTGGATCCAGATGAATGTCAGAAGGGAACATATACTGAGATGGTCTCATGTTTCCTGGGAATATCTCCTGTGAACAAGCCTTCCTGGTTTTGTAAGGAAGCATTAGGTGCTATTGCTTCCCTGCCTGCAAGTCTCATCCATTTTATACTTGTCCCAGCAGGGGAATAAATGGGGCAACACATCATTGTTACAGGGGGGGTCCTTGGGTAGGAATTGGGGCAGTTGGGCAGGTATCTTCTGGAGAGTGTCCATTAACTGTTGACAGCTCATCCATGGGCCCATAGGAGGAGCACGTTGGAGGTGATATACTCTGAATGAGAGGAAGGCGTGGAGATTGTGCAGGTACGTATGGAAAAAGGGACTGGTAAAGAGTAGGAGTTCTTGGGCATCTTTCCCACTGAACAGTTCTGAAGAGATGGTGACCCAGGAGAAGCCAAACCTTTGAGTAGTGCCAGGATCCAGGTAAGGGTAGGTATGGGCCTGCATCTCGGTACAGGACAGAGAATCTCCATGGAACTTGGTAAGTGATGGTGGGGGCAATGAGGTTTGCTTTGGTCTTATTTTGAGTACAAGTACCCAGGGAAGCAATGAATATGGAACTTTTTCAGTCTAGTGACCCGGAGTTTGCGCTTCGTATATGGTGAAGGAAAATGAATGTTGAGGGCCTGTGTGTCCTGAGATTGCCCATACCCTCATCTAGTGACACTGTGGTGGACCAGTGTGCAGAACAGAATGAAAAGAATCTTTGTAGGACTAGTTGATGATGATTAGTTTCATGGGATGATAGTGTTCTCCTCAGATTGGTTCTGGTATGTGGGTGAAACAAAAGACTTCTCTTCAAGTAGTGATGTCCAATGTGAGGGCCGAATACTCTTGCAGAGCAAACTGCATGCTGAATTACATGGTGTTATCACAGTGTAGCTGGCAAAATGCCGCAGTTAAGAAAAGTTTGTTGAGGAAAGATTGCAGATTGTCAGGTAACTCCTAATGTGGACATAGCCTGTTTCACAAGGCTTGTTGTTCATCAGAGAGGTCAAAAGAAATCTGTGCCTAATCTGGTCTTGCCATATTTTATCACCAGCCATCCTGCCAAGTGCCTAGTTGGTGATCAGGTTTTGTGAGATGTTGCTCCCATTGTCTACAGAACATCTTTCTTTTCTGCTGAACATTGGAGAGGAGACCTGAGCATTTTGGTCATTTCTACATTTTTGGACTTTTGTGCTACTGAAGGTAAAATAAGAGACTTTCCCCAATGGCTATGGGTAAGCATTCAGTTTTCATGTAGGATGGCTGGCCTACATACAGTTTTCAAGTTCTCCATCCTTGAACGAGATGCATGGATACTTGTTCATATCCTGCTTTCTACCAGTATTGATCCTTGGAACTCCCTCAGATTCCTGTATAGGGAGAGATAATTCTTACCAGGCATTTTCTGTCAACTTCTGCAAAGATGCATGTCATGAACCCAGCAGGTTCTGAAAACAAACACAGTAACCTTTGCAGTTCTCATCTGTGCCGGTGTGAGGCGATGTGGACTAAATCCTTCTTGTGTTTTCCCTCTTGCATTTTTCACAGGGCTCCTGTTGTCAGAGTGAGACACACAAAGTACAGTGATCTCTACACACCTCCATGGAAGTGTGGACTTGTGTCCTGGCCACCAACAAGGATGCTTGAACTCCACATGCACATGTGACAAAAGTGTCCCTCATTCTTCCTGTCCACTGTGTTGATTTGGAGGATTTCAGGTCACATGGAGGAAATCCTCAACCAGTCCAGTGACTACAAGGGTACACTGGGCTTGGATAGGTCAAATGGATACCAAACCAGTGAGCATTGAAAATGTACTTCTGTGCAGGTTTTGGCCCTTGTTCTGGTTGGTTGCAGTAAGCATAGGTGAGTTTGAAGGTGTCCATCCACCTAGGACAGTTTGAACTCTGGGGACAGTAATGTTTCCTTGGCAATCCTCTCAGTATACAGGTAGGTTTCTAGTGTCATCAAAGTTTTTCTTGTGCACAGAAATGCTTATGGACTCTACACGACACCCTCTTCTCCATGTCTTCTCAAGTTCCCTTCAAGAGAAAATATGAAATGTAGAAGACTCTGGCTGCAACCTCATGGGCATCTCAGGTAAGAACCATGGTCCTTGTACCTCATTGAGGACCGTGGGATCTTTTGTATCCAGGTGGACATGAGGAGAGTGTGCATAAGGTGTTGTCCTGTTTCCTGGACAAGTATCCTCTGTGGGTCTGGAGTAGTGTAAGGTTCTGAGCTGATTTCATATTCAACATCAGTGACACTATTTCTGGCATAGATATGACTATTGATGGTGAACTTCTGATGTAACCCACTCTATTTTGCAAGTGTGTATTCAGTGTCTTTTTG